ACATACATACATACATGCATACACTTCTTGTATTTCTATACGTACATTCTCATACAAATATGGTTTGACGGGTGGAACGAGACGAGTCAGCCTCGCAGTCCGTCACACGCTTGTGCATGTCTTTGATCTTGTCATGGGCAGCGGCTAACTCTTTGGCGTGCTTGTCAGCCGAATCCCCGACCATCTTTTCGACATAGTCGAGGCGTTCCGACACAGTCGCATGGTGGGTATCTCGAAGCTTCGTGTCTGTGGCAAACTTCGAGTGAGAAACCTTAGTTGCTGAAATCATAAGCCCCAAAAAGAGATATATTCTCCCAAACAGTGTAACATGTACTTACTCAGCTACTAAGACACCTTCAGGGCCTCCACCTCCTTGGCATGCTTCTCAACAGACTGGCCCAGGCTCTTCTCGAGGAATTCCAGGCGCTCGCCCAAAGAAGCCGTGTGGGCCGCAAGAGCCGCTTTGTGCTCTTGGGAGGTCGTGCTGTGTGATCGGTGGAGTTCGGATATCGTTGCTCCCTGCTTCTCGCACTGGAGAATACGGTTCTGAGCCTGCTCCAACTTTGCATGAGCAGCTTTTAGCTCGCGCTCGTGTTGGTCAAAGGAATCCCCGATCTTCGTTTCCAAATATTCTAGCCTCTCTTGCACGGAAGCGTGCTTTTCATCACGCAGCTTCTGCTCTTTGCTCAATCTCTGGTGTGCAGCTTTGGTAGACTCGATCTCCAAAGCATGCTTGCTGTGGGTCTCACCCAGAGACGTTTCCAGGCGTTCCAGCCGTTCTTCCACGGTGGCCACATGCTTTTGCCGAGCCTCCTTCTCAGAGTGCAGAAGAGCTCGCAAGCTTTCCTGCCAAGACACTGCCAAATCTCGATTCCGAAGTTGGGCTTGGAGGTCTGAAGTTTCAAACTGCTCCCACTTTTGAGAGTCAATTTGGTGTGCTTGCGGTGCGGGGAGGTGCTCGAAAATGAAAGTGGTATCACGAGTGTCAGTGCACATGCACTCATGTGTCCATGATCTTCCCTATTTGTTGGTCTATACATCCCGGGATAGAGATGCATGGCTGGATGGAGTACGGCTGATGAAGTCGTTTGTGGATAGTGACGGATCGTGGCGAGTGGATTGATAGCTTGAAAGGTTACCAGGCAGTGATACAGTACAGGAACAGATGAGGATGCAGATGTCGATGGCGAGGGAGACGTGCCCGCATGCAGATACGTATGCAAATGCATTAATGCACAGATATCACGCTACAAAAATCATTGTGGGTGTATTTCATTTGACATACATGTACAGAGCGTTATGTATCAAGGACAGATAGATTATCGATTGTGACGTATGTTACGAACTGGCTGATTACAGGCATACTGTAGCTCTGCATATCCCAAGGTACAAAGCACCCCAAGAAAGCTCGGGATGTAGTTCTGAGGGTTTGGATACTTCGAAATTGAGAAGCGACTTTTCCGGCTGTTTCAATGAGTACAGAGTCCAACCCTCCATGGACAGAGCAAAATATTCGGAGGATGAGTGCGCTGACATCAGAGCAAGAACAGTAGAACACATCGGAAATCATAACGACCCGTGCTGACCGACTGTAGCCGCGATTCTCTCGAAGCCGGTTTGTAAAGTGCCAAGGGTCCTCCTGCTGCGAGCCAGTGACTCTTTGATGCACTTGATCAATCTTGCTATGGGCCGCCCTGAGTTCTTGGGCGTGCTTGTCAGCTGAGTCGCCCAGGAGCTTCTCGATGTAGTCCAGGCGCTGCGAGACTGTCGCATGATGGGCATCGCGGGCTTTCACTTCGGAGGCCATTCGCGAGTGCGATGTCTTCAGGGATTCCAGCTCCCTGGCATGGAGCTCAGCAGACTCCCCCATCAAGCCCTCCAGGTAGCTCAGCCGCTCGCTCACGGAAGAGTGGAGGCTGGAAATCTTGTCTCGGTGCTCCTGGTTTACCTGCTGATGCGACTTGTGGAGGTCGGCCACAGTGGAGCCCGTCTCTTCGCAGTTGGCCACCCGGGCATGGATCTTCTCGATCTTGTCCTGGGCAGCCTTCAGCTGCTTGGCGTGCATGTCTGCGGAGTCTCCAAACATCCTGTCAGGGCTCCAGCTGATGCACTTATGCAAGGTGCGTATGGCGGAAGCGTAAGATAAAGATAATGGAGACTAATGTAGGGGCCTTGAGAATTAGAATAGGGTTTCGGGGTACATTATACTATAGTTATAGTAAGGAAGCCCCAAAATAGTATAAGTAATGATTAACGCCCCCATATTAAGATGAGGCTACAGGGCGCCCTCCAGCCAGAAGCTAAGCAGCGCCTCTCCAAGTAGTCTAACCGCTCCGCGAGTGTCGCATGATGCGCATCTCGTGCTGTTTGATCAGAGACATGGTTGGCATGTGCCTTCTTCAAACCGTCCACTGCTGATCCTGCACTGCTTTCGGGCAGAAGTCTCATGTAGGGAATCCGCACCATCACTGAGGCTCTACATCTGCATTATTACCGCATTAGAGTGCTTTCGCTCTTGCCGATGCATCTACCCGAGCCAGAACTTTCGACTTCTGCAGCGCCTGTTGCTTCACAGGCGGAAAGGCGAGAGTGCATGCTGGCGATCTTGGAATGGGCTTCAGCAAGCTCCTGCACAGATACTCGTAGCGGCACATAACCACTGCACCACGCCCAACAGAAAGTCAGCGCTACAGTTGTTATACATCGAGTAGCCAGTGTGTTTGTCGTTGTTCTTGGTGCTTTCATCAACATCATCACCACGACTCTCTACAGTATCACGATGAGTACCGTTCACCACAGATGGAGCTCGTCCTGCGCATGCTTCTCGGCTGAGTCGCCAATCGCCTTCTCCAAGAAAGCGAGCCGCTCTCCCACGTTGGCATGGTGCGCCTCCGTGTGCGCCTCCTGCACAGCCATCTCGGGCTTATGATGGCTCAGGGTACAGGGGCATCCAGCCTCACAATAGGAACCCACAAGTCTGCTCTGACGTCTTGGTGTAAGCCTTTCTAAAAACTGCGGATGCTACGATACTCCGGAGCCACTAACACCCACATCTGAGCCCTTGAATATCCGAAAGCTTGAACTGCGAACTTCCGAACTATGCGAACTGCAACGAGCATCCCGAAATCTGCAATGTCCTAGACGCTCAAACTCAGATCACCTTCTCGACTCCAACATCCTAGACCTGGTTGCCTACTTCCCTGAAATCCCCTCTTCAAACAGAACTTTCCCCCTCATCTCATGCCCTAAACCCCTTGCTCCCAAACTCGAACCGTTGAGTTCCCTGAGGCAGAGCACACATCCAACTCATGTCCTTCACTCAGATTGCCTGACATCCGTAAATTTCAAGCTTTCTGAACACTGCGCGCTGGAACTGCATCATCAGAGTCCCTTCAACGCTTAATCTGAAGCTGAGCTCAAAGCTCTACACCCGGAACCCTCTGGCTGAGTCTATACCAAAATCATAAACCAGAACCCCTCAAAAGACCAAATCGGTGTTCCAATCTAGGAACCAAAATGGTTAGCAATGGTACTCTCCAAAATGCGCCAATATACGGCTCATGATACAAATCCTGCATTACCCAAAAATAAGGAACATACCATACTTCCCATAGTTTAGGGTCCTTAAGGTCATGCAGGATTTGTCTCATCAACCGTATTGACCGTCAGCCCAACAAGCCCAACAGGCCAACTCTCCAGGCAAGGATTCTTCTTGTCACGTGCTTTTGCCCTAGACCCTGAACCCCAAACCTTATAAGCCCCCAAACCTCAAACCCTGAACCCCAAACCCTATAAGCCCCTAAGCCGTAAGCCCTGAACCCCAAACCCTATAAGCCCCTAAACCCTAAACCCTAGACCCCTAAACCCTAAACCCCTAAGCCCTAATCCCCAAAACCCTAATCCCCAAAACCCTACAACCCTAAAGTCCCCCTGCCTTGGCCTTAGAGTCGTTGTGAAGTCGGCTGTGGGCCGTCTTCAGGCTCTCGAGTTCCCGCGAATGCCTCTGAGCCAGGGGCTTTTTAAGTGACGCTGGTGGTTTGGGGCTTCTAGGGTTTTGGGGCTCAGGGTTTAGGGTTTCGGGGCTTATAGGGTTCAGGATTTAGGGTTTAGGGATTTATAGGGTTCAGGGTCTAGGGTTTAGGGGCTTATAGGGTTTGGGTTCAGGGTTGGGGTTTCGAACTTAAGATCAAGAGTCCAGGAAAGCTTTATGGCCCAAGCCCTGAAACCCCAAACTCACACCGCCAGCCCACACATAAGGATCTAACGTAGGGGCCTTAACAATCAGAATAGGGTTTTGGGGTATATTATACTATACTTATGATAAAGAACCCCCACCCTAGTATTGGTAATTATTTAGGCTTCTATATTAGGCTTGGGGGTTTGGCGGTGAGGGCCTGTCCGCTGAGTCACCGATGGCGCCTTCCAGGTAGTCCACGCGCTCCTGGGCATCGGGTGCAGCGTTCCTCGGGGTTTGTAGGCAGCCTTTATGAATTCTGAAGTGCCGAGGGGGTCAGGGGTTTTTGGGTTTCTGGTTCAGTGCTTTAGGGTTGTGGGTTTAGGCGGCAGAACGACACGACGATGACTACAAGCATGACTGTCAGGTACCAACTTATAACGCAAACAACACAAATTTGAACGACAATGTCGACCACCAACACCCTAAGTGCAACCTGCAGCGAAACTAGAACAACAACCACCGCTACTGCAATTGCCTGCGATACAGCAGCTTAAGGCATGCGCCGGCAGGAGCAGCTGCTGCTGCAAGAGCGCAAGCATCCCCACAGCACTGACAGTCATGACGACGATGGCGCAAGGCAAGGTTGATGGCTTCTGCTTGTGCCCGCACATATGATGCTGATGCTGATGATGATGATGATGATGGTGATGATGATGATGATGGTGATGATGATGATGACTGTTATTGTGATTATGAGTATGAACCCAGGCCCTGAGTCCTAGTGCTGCGGGCTGCGAGGTTTTAGCTGGGCCGGGGGCCTTCAGCGTCGCGTGGTGAGCGTCCAAGTTGGCCTATGGGCATCTGACATGAGGCATTGAGGGTTTCGGGTTAGGCTTTAGGGTTTAGGGTTTAGGGTTTAGGGTTTAGGGTTTAGGGTTTAGGGTTTAGGGTTTAGGGTTTCGGTTTAGGCTTTAGGGATGTCAACCTTACCTCCTGTTTCTTACTGGCGTAACAGATGCAAGCGGCTTCGGGTCTAGAGGCTTATCTGGGTTCAAGTGCGCGGGGCTGAGAGTCGATTTCAGGCATGCACCCTCCAAAAGCCGTAAGCCCTAAACACCACAAAACCCCTAAACTCTAAACCCTGAACCCTTATGAACGCCACAGGCAACAGAACCCCCCAAAAACTCTAAACACCACAAAACCCCAAAACTCCAAGAACCCGAAGAAGCCTCCCAAACCTCATCGGCCTGTCATATTAGTATTATTAGAACTAGTATCAGTGTTAGTACTAGTATTATTCGTAGTATTAGTCGTATCAATAATTCGTATGAGTTTCAGTATTAGTTTTGGTACTAGTTCTGGACTAAACATATTATCAGAGGGTTGATGAGGGCCCCGGC